AAGTCACAAGTCTTTCTGTATATACATCACCATTCGTTTCATTACCCACTTGAAAATGATTAGAAATTAAAGAAAGAAAAAACGCCTGAAACAGTTGCTTATGTTACGTATTGTTCTTTTTCCACGCGTTCCCAGTCCCCATCATCAGTTGACAACTTGAAACATTCATTCATTCTTTAATTTGAAATCTAATATAGCTAGATAGACTGCTCATCGTGGAAACACAAAGAAAAACAATGAAGAAATGTAAACAGATACGAAGCCAAAATTTCAACAACACATAAACTAGACGATGCCGTGAGAAACGAGGATATGTAGAAGACGACTAATTACCTCAACAATCAACGTGAAGGCAGGCATGTCTTCCTGCTACCTGGGCTTTTGTCCTTACTCGTCACATGCTGCAAAACCAACCTGGGAAGAAATTAACAAAACCGCGGCAGCACAGGAGATTTGGATCCACTCCCACACCTTCATTATCTGACTCATACCCCTTCTTGATGCCAACTTCGTTGCGTGAGTACGAATTGAGATGAGATGGTTGGGTTTGTTAGAATGTCACTTGTGCTTAATTTATGTTTTCTTATATAGATTTCCGTCTATAGCGTAAAGCACTAGCTTAAGCCGGATGGTCGGGTAATCGGGTTAGTGTACGTCAGATATATGCTATATGTCTTTGTTTAATTACACTATTATACACCCATTAAGTTCAACTATTTAGACCATAATTTAACATGAGTTTGGGGTATGATGTTATATGCTAACTTGTAATGGGTGAACTCTAATGCAACAAACATATAAGTGATAAAAATCCTAGAATGCTCTAGAATCGTATTCCACAAGGTCTTCTAATGTATAACTACCACATACCATCTATGTTCAAACAAAGACTTGTAGTGGTTTTATTCGAGTAAAGCAATAAAGTAAAGCAATCAATGAGAAGTAAATGATGTTAAGGGGTTTTTCAATTTATATATATGCATAAAAGTAAATAATGCTATTGGATAGAAAAGCATATACTCGAATTCAACACACATATCTACTGATAATTTATATCATGCATCAATAACTCATCTATAGCATCACTCTATCCTTTCTACTAAGGCCATATAGTCAAACTTTTGCTACATGCAATAGAAATTTGACTAGTTTGCTTGATGGATTTGATGATGGATTTTGTGAGGGATTTAAATTCATCATGGACTTTGTCCAAAATCCATTGTTTGCTTCATGCATTTAGGGGAAACAAATCCGTGGGTACCACAAATTTTAAGGTACCAAATCCGTGGACCCAATGGACTTGAAAGTTCCACCTATTTAGGTGGGAATTGATTATGGACTTTGAAGTCCATCATTTTTTACCAACCTACCCTTCATATTTGTTTTCTCTTCTTATATCATTGAGACTAATAAAGGTAAATTACACTTCATACATACAAATTTAATTAACAAAATCCATCCTGAAATCTATCAAACAAACAATGGTGTTTATCAAATCCATAATGAACCTAAAATCCTCATATATCCATGGTTTTTCAAAACCCAAGTTATATCAAAACCTTCATTTTTCAAATCCACGACGCAAACGAAACTCATGCGTATTTTTTCTTCATGTCATCGCCAACTCAATGAAGAACAGAGAAGTGAGTAACTTTGCAAATAACACAAAATACAATGGTCATATGTATGTGTACCTTTAATTAGTACGTGACTTATTCGGATCATGGTACTCCTAAAATTTGGAACAATATTATCGACCTCCAATCGTAGTTTGAACTGGGGGGAAAAGAAAAAATTAAGTTGGCTTTATGATTCAAACCCGTGTTATTAGAAAACATGTTATCCATTACACTACATATCATTTGTTTACATTGTTATATTTCAGCCTAGTTATTATGCTAACTTGAAGATTCGTTAGTATATACTAACTAATATCCAAAATGTATGAATTAATATCCAAGTTTGCTAAATATCTAGATAACACAGACTAGTATTCAAAACATCACAAACTAGTATCCAGATAGCAGATACCAACTAATATCCACAATCAACCAACTAGTATTCAATATGGATACTCTTATGGGTTATCTGGATACTCTTATGTGTTATCTGTATACTAATTATGTGCTGTTTGGATACTATTCTGTGTTGTCTAGATATTAGTTTGTGAATTTGGGATAAATAGTTGATTCATGGTGGATATCAGATAGCAAACTTTGAATACTAGTCTGTGCTCTCTAGATACTTTAGTATTTGGATGTTAGTTCATGTATTTTGGATATCAGTTAGTATCTGCTAACGAATCTTCAAGTTAGCAGATTAACATTCCCCGTTATATTTGATAAATGATAAAGTCAATTATTTATTCAAGTGTTCACTCAAGTGAAATATTATTTTGATCTTGTATTTGTCTAGTAAGAATGCACATTTTACTATCATATTTTGTTTTGTTGTTTCATATGATGTCATATATGTATTATTATTTATATTAAATTACAAATTGTATTTTGTTATAATGGCTTATATTTTCATATTGCCCGACTTAAACCATAACTCAAGAAGCCCATAGAATCTTAAAATTAATGTGTAGATTTCTTTTTCTTGACTCATTATTAATGGGTGGGTTTGAATTTACCATATTTCAACTCTAAACTCATTAATGGGTGGTTAAAATGCTCGAAACTGACAAACCGGCTATGTACTCTTACTGCCTTTGAAAGCAGGGCAAGAAGCCATGGGAGTTGGGACGCTGCTCGATCGCTTTTTGCTGATGATCCAAATTTGAAAACCTGGAGTCATCTTTCCCCCAATCCTGCAATCCATTAAAAAAGCTTACACGCATTCCCCACTTTCTCATATCACTCTACTCCTTTTGGTTACAAACCAACAAAACTCCCATACTACTAAACTGATCCAACCCAGCAAGGGATCGATTGCAAAGCAAAGGATTCCCAGCTAGCTAGCTAGCTAGGTTTCACTATCAATAACGCTTTTGTCTTTGTTGATGTTTTCGCACTGAGAAACTGAACACACAAAGCTTCCCATTCGATCTCTTTCTCTTCTTTGCGTTGCTTTGCTTCTTTCTTTCCTTTTGTGAGTTACAAGGAAGGGATGGTCCCTGATATATGTATGTTTGACCACCCTCTCCCTTTCGACATGGAAAGTTCACCCCCAAGACTCTATGCTTTCCTTTTGCTCCATCTCCACTAACTTATTACACTTCCACTTTGATTCCACTACCATAACGTTCATATTAACCAATACGCAGGGATACTACTTTTCAACTGCCCTGGGAAACTTCATTGAATTCAGCAATCAAGGCCTTATGGTTTAGAAATCGACCGAACTTTCCTTCTGTTAGACAGTGGTTTAAGATCCAACATAAATCTTTTCCCAACAACTCGAGTTATTTGGACCAACTGGTTTGTGACATGGTATCATAGCTGGATTGGCCAAGTGGTAGTGTGTTCGAATCTCCACGACCCCCAATATTAACAGTTGATTAAAGCACAATGTATGGTGAACTTGTGCAAACTTCAAGTCCATGAGTTGGCCCTCGTTTGAGGGAGCATGTTAGAGAGTGATTTAAGATCCAACATAATCTTCTCCCAACAACTTGAGTTATTGGGACCAAGAAAAAGATAGTCAGTGAGTAAAAAATGACTAACACATCTGAGAATTATATGACATATTTGAACCGTATCAGATTGAACTATTAGCTATTTGTCAAAAATCTTTTGAAACAACTATTCAATGAATCAATGTTCTAAACCTTTCTCCTACAGACTTGAGCGGTAACATATTCTACTATAAATTAGGACTTTTTCTCAAAGTCATCATCTGTACTAATTAACTCAAGGAGCAGAAATCTGGAATTTCTTTCTCCTATAAATATTTCGGTTAAATTGCAAGTTTGGTCACTAGAATTACTCAAAAATTTCACGTTTGCCACTGAAATTAATTTATTTCATCCCTAGTCACTTAAATTAAGTTAACAGTTCAAGTTTGGTCACTGGCCGTTAGTCTCCGTTAACTTTTGCTGATGTGGCGGTCAACTATAATAGTTGACCGTTAAATGAGTGACGTGGCAATTAATATAATAAAAAAAATAACATTTAATTATTTCATATTTTCCACCTAATTATTTTAGAAATTAAAAAAAAAATCTAACTTGCCGCTAACTTCTCTTCGGTCACCGGGTTGAGAAGGTAAACGCTGTTGCCGACGGGGCCGAACGAGGACCAACCAGCCGTCGTTGGAGCCCACGCTGCGGCTGGTCCCTATGTTTGCGAACGAGGCAGCCGAGTTCGGCCCCGCGATGATCGAAGGAGGGCGTGCGGTCCAGATCGGGGAAGAAATGGCCGATGGGGTGGCCCACAGCGAGTTATTGTGGTGTTAGTGGGGCCGTCACGGCGACCTCGAGAAGACCGTAGTTTCGGCAATGCGAGGATGCCTGGAGTGCTGCTGCGGCAGCGGTTGTGGGGGAGGAGGTTTTTCTTGGACCCAGATTTCGAAATCGTTCCTGAAGCTTACCAGTCAAAATGGTACACGGCCACAAGCAAGGTCTACCCTGTGACCAGGGCCTGGAGATTGTTGTTGAGGAAGATAGAGTAGAAACGGTTGAGCCTGGTGAGAGGGGATGAGATTGAGCTGTGGAGCTGAGGTAGGTAGATAGATAGATGAATACGTACAATGGGGCAAAAGGGAAAATTCTTAAACAAACAAAGGTCGTCTCCACTTCCATTTCCATCCCAAAAAGTCATCTTCTCCACCATCCATTCAATTCCTTCCTTGTGGCCGCAGACCAAACAAGATCCCTCCACCGTCCAAAACCCCAATTTATTCCTTCTCAGTCTCTCTATCTTTAGGGTTTTCCGATTCGGTTGTCTGCCATCAGTTAATTAATTCGTGCAAAAGACAATATATTCATAGATTTCAAACCAGCCATGTGGAAGCCTCCATTGGCTCTCCTCCTTTGCTGTGGCCAAGAAATATCGCAGATGATGAGGGGGAAAGTGGAGCTGAGGAAGATCGAGAACGCAGCGAGCAGGCAGGTGACGTTCTCGAAGCCGAAGTATGGGCTGCTCAAGAAAGCTCACGTGATGTCCGTATTGTGCGACGGCGAGGTTGCAATCATCGTCTTCTCCCAGCGCGGGAAGCTCTCCGAGTTCTCTAATCACGAGTAAGCTTATGCTATTTAGAATTTTCTTTTTTAAATTTTTAAAATAATCCGGTGGAAAATAAAAAAATTATTATTTATTATTATATTAATTGCCACGTCACTTATTTAACGGTCAACTATAAGAGTTGACCGCCACATCAGCAAAAGTTAACGGAGACTAACTGTCAGTGACCAAACTTGAAATGTTAACTTAATTTAAGTGACTACGGATGGAATAAATTAATTTCAGTGGCAAACGTGAAATTTTTAAGTAATTCTAGTGACCAAACTTGCAATTTAGCCAAATATTTCATTCAAAATATTTGATTAGAAGAAAAAAGGAATCATGCCGTTCATTGTATATAATTGTCTGCAACGAGGTCCGCTCCATTAACGCAACTACTCCACTGTTGGACTTCAGTCCAAAACAAACCCCTATACGTCAACGCTTCAACCCTAAACAACAAGATGAGAGAAACAAACACAAAATATAGAGTAAACCGATTGGCATGAACGAATAATACAAAATAATATTAAACTTCTCAATAAATCTTTTGACTTGATCGTTATTATTGCTCTAAAAGAAGGGAAAGGAAACAGGAGGAAGCATCAACCTTAACGTATTAGTGGGGTCAAACCTGTATTAATTAACTATTTGATAACAACTGCATCATTGGAATAATTAAAGTTTGAATAACTACTTGCTGGATTTAATAATTAATTAAATTCCTTGTTATTGTGCCAAACCCATTATTATCCCTTAGTGCCGTTCAAGCTACAATCCACTACACAAACAACTACATAATAATTTGTTAGAAACGGAACAACAACAAGATGAGGATACCGAATCTGGAGCTGAGTCGCGGACTAGGTCGCTTTCTTTAAGACGTTCGCGGCACTGCCCTCGATGCGCACGGCAGACTATCAACCGGTCGTCTCCAGGATAAAACAGCTCCTCTGGGTACTCGCGGTTTTGTGCGAAAACCGGAGCTCTCTGAACACTCTCTCTATTGTGTTTATGCTCGTTGTAGTGTGTTTAGAGGGGCTGGGGAGGCGGCTATTTGTAGGAGCCGAACCCCTAGGAATATACCCTCTAGCTTGGGGAATAAGTCGGATTAATGAAGGAAGATAATTGCTTCCTTAATTAAAACCGTCGGTTAGGATAAATCCTGCTGGGATTATCCTTCGAATATTCCTTTTCAATCGATTATCCCTTAGAATATTCCTCAGAATAACCGATTAATAATTAATTATTAAATAATTAATTTCGTTCGGAATTTCTCTAAAAAATATGTATATAGTCTCAAGTGATCCAACCAACCAACCAACCAACCGACCGGCCGGTCGGACGGACGGCGCGCGCGTGTGTGGTGGTCCGTTAGGTCCTCCCTCTCCCACAAAAGTGGGTCACCCCAAGGGGCATGCCCTTAGGAGAGAGGCTCCTATCTTTATAATCACTTCACCAAGTAAAACTACCAATGTGGTAGTTTTTCCACTTGAGACTCTATAGCTTTCAAAGCTATTCATACACATTTCCAACAATCCCCCACTTGAATAGTTTTGAAACTATCTCTGAGCATCAACAGTTCCATAAGATCGGGCATAAGCTAAGGTATCGCGAAGATTTCAACCTTAGCGTAGTGGTTACACTTCCGATTTCATAAGGGTGACTCGTAGTCTTGAACCCTATCTCAGACAGTGTAGCACACCGGATCTTTTCATTGAGTTGTGTTCTCTTCTTAGCCCGTGCGTTTATGGCCTTGCACGTTACCCTGGTTTAGTGAACGCTCTAGCAACTTTGTGCCTCTCAAAGTTCCATAGGGAGCGGCCCCACTCCCACATTCACATAGGTGAGTCTATCAGGAGTACCCCCAAAGTAAAGTACTCCACCCCACATAGGGTATAGATCTCATTAAGAGTTATTAACTCAACCTCCATTGCTTTGGGATTCATGCTTCATTATGCATGAACTTTTCGCATACTACTCATGACTTGTTATTACCCATTGAACCCATTTCTTGGGATCTCCAGTCTATTGGGTCGGGTTACCATCACTTGTAGTCCGTGGTTCGGTAGGCATAAGTCCCATACCCTTGGCGGTATTCTGGACTTTCTCTCTAGGTAATCCTTTCGTCAAAGGATCAGCTAGATTCTGTTCGGATCTTATATGATCCACCCTCACTGCTCCTATCGTTAGGAGTTCTCTAACAGTACTGTGCTTACGACGAATCTGTCGTTTCTTTCCGTTATAGAACCGGTTCTCGACTTTAGCGATAGCTGCGGTACTATCACAATGTATCAATACCGGAGGGACCGGGCTTTCCCATAAGGGAATCTCTGACAACAATCCTCTCAACCAACTTGCTTCTTCACTAGCCGTTGCTAGTGCTATCATCTCTGATTCCATAGTTGATTGAGCTAGGATTGTTTGTTTCTTTGACTTCCAAGACACAGCTCCACCAGCGATGTTAAAAACATATCCGCTGGTTGCCTTGGAGTCATCTGATAGGGTATTCCAATCCGCATCACTATACCCTTCTAGTACAGCGGGAAACCTTTGATAGTGTATACCAAGGTTTGCTGTTCTCTTGAGGTATCTCATGACCCTCTCTATAGCATTCCAATGCTCTCTACTAGGACAGCTGTTAAACCTGCCAAGCAACCCCACGACATATGCAATGTCTGGTCGAGTGTAATCCGCAGCATAACGGAGACTGCCAATGATGCTAGCATATTCTGTTTGTCTTACACTGTCTCCAGTGTTCTTGAATAGCTTTACACTAGCATCATACGGAGTACACGCAGGTTTACAGTCGAAATAGTTATACTTCTTCAAGATCTTCTCTATGTAACTAGATTGATCTAGAGAATAACCATTTGCTGTTCTAGTTATCTGGATTCCAAGCATAAACTTTGCTTCTCCCAGATCTTTCACCTCAAAGCTCTCTTTTAACATGGCTTTCGCTTCATTGACCACGTGAACATTTGTACCAAATATCAACATGTCATCTACATACAAACATATGATAGTGCAAGTGTTATTCTCTGACTTGCAGTAAATACACTTGTCACTTTCATTCACCTTAAAGCCATGTGAGAGAACGAGAGTGTCAAACTTCTCATGCCATTGTTTTGGAGCCTGTTTCAAACCATATAATGATTTGTCCAACTTACAGACTTTCGAGGCATGTTCAGGGATAACAAACCCTTCTGGTTGTTCCATATAGATTTCTTCATCTAGATCACCGTTCAAAAAAGCAGTCTTAACATCCATTTGGTGTACCACGAGATTGTTCAAGGCAGCAAGAGCAATCATGACACGAATGGATGTTATTCTAGATACTGGTGAATAGGTGTCGAAGAAATCTATATTCTCTCTCTGCCTGTAGCCCTTGACTACTAGGCGAGCTCGGAACCTTTCGATTGCACCATCAGGTTTCCGTTTCGTTTTTAGAACCCATTTATTACCTAAGACTTTGCAGCCAGGAGGTAAGTCTGTTAGATGCCAAGTCTTATTAGCCTCTAACGATTCCATTTCATCTATAACGGCCTCATTCCAAAAGTCTGCATCTATGGAAGTTAGTGCTTCCTGCAAACTTTTTGGATCCTCTAGGGTGTATACTGTAGTAAAGTCATCACCAAAATCTTTAGAGATTCTAGCTCTTTTACTTCTTCTGAGTTCATCCTCAGATCCAACACCCCCACTAGTTCCGTTATCTATAATAGCGGGTAGTACATTACCCCCACTATTTCTCGTTTTAAATGGAAATCGTGTCTCAAAGAAATCAGCATCAATGGATTCTATTACAGTACGAGCATTCAAATCATAGAATCTATATGCCTTACTATTGGCCGCATAGCCAACGAAGACACATTCATATGCTCGACTAGCCAACTTAACCCTCTTAGGATCAGGAATTCTTACGTAGGCCAAACAGCCCCACGTTCTTAAATAGGACAGATTAGGTGGCTTATTCTTCAAGATCTCATAGGGTGATTCTTTTCTATTTTTTTTTGGAAGACGATTTAGCACATAGCAAACCGTCAACAAAATATCACCCCACCAAGAAGAAGCAGCTCCAGAATTGAGCATAATAGCCACAACTAATTCTGTAAATGTCCTATTTTTCCGCTCAGCTTTACCATTCATTTCTGGTGAATATGGTGCCGTGGTTTCATGAATGATACCATGTGAGCTATAGAATTCCTTGAAGAGATTAGAGTCATACTCTGATCCTCTATCGCTCCTAAGTCTTTTTATCTTTCGATTGCACTGATTTTCGAATTCAACCACAAATACCTTGAACATGTCAAGGGCTTCACTTTTGTTTTTCATCAAATAAACAAAGCAATAATCAGAGCAATCATCTATGAAAGTGATAAAGTATCTCTTGCCAGACCTAGTTAACGTCCCATCTAGTTCACAAATATCAGAATGAATCAGATCTAAGGGTTCTGATTCTCTACTCACAGATTTATGGGGCGTTTTCGTTATTTTAGCTTGGCTACAAAAATCACATTTATCAAATTCATTCATTGAGAGTTTAGGGATATGCCCTAGCTTGCTTAAATTCTTCACAATTCGTGTGTTCACATGACAAAGACGAGCATGCCAAACATTCAAATCACACACCATGTAAACTGAAGAATTCATCTTATTAATTTCGACATTCAACTTGAACATCCCATTACATGCATATCCCTTTCCCACAAAACTCCCATTCTTAGTAAGGGTATACAAGTCTGCCCCAATAGATTGATTAAACCCAGCCTTATTAAGAAGATATCCCGAAACAAGATTCTTCCTTATCTCTGGAGTGTGCAACACATCCTTGAGCACCATCTTCTTCCCAGAGGTGAAGTTCAGCTCCACTTCACCAGAACCAGCAACCATAGTGGTGTGAGTAGTACCCAACAACACTTTCTTGTCAGCAGGTGCTTCTTCGTATGTTTTAAACATAGCACGATTGTTGCATACATGCTTCGATGCACCTGTATCCAGCCACCACCCTTCTGAGTCACCGG